ATTCATATACACAGGCCTAATCCTAATTGGTGGAGAAAGAAATTGGTCAAAACATTTTTTCACGTAAATATTTTCCTAAAAGTTCTCTGATCACTAGAAAGCACATATATTAATATTAAGCATAGATTTTTAGGGAAGAGAGATAATATACATAAAAATATTGTTTTTAATCTCACCATTTGGAAGTAAACTCTATTAAGATTTTAGATCTTTGTTCCCACTATCACTTTATTGAAACAAGATTATATTTCATGTAAAATTTGGAAGCTACTGTTAAATATAAATCTATATGATAAACAATTTTAATATTACTTAATAATGCTTCATACGATAAGCACTGGACTGCAAACCACAAGGTCCGCAGTTTGAGTTTGCCAACTGCTTTGTGGAAGAAAGATGAGGTTTTCTGCATTCTTGAAGATTTAACGCCTCAGAATCCCTATACAGAGAAGAAACCAATTCAAGGGCAGTTAACAGCAACAACAAAAGTAATGTTTTGTAAAAATGATTTTAAATAACTGCATTGAATTCTATGCATGATCAACCAAATTTTATTTAACAGAATCCCTACATTTAGTTTCCTTCCATTCCTACTAATATATTCAGTTTTGATGAAGAATCTTGTAGTTAATTATTTCCTAAAAGAAAAACATTAAACGAAATTTTGGGAATATACTGAGCAGCTGATACATATCTCAAAATAAACTAGTTACCCTGCTGGAAAGATATAGAGCAATATTTGTAACAGTTTCAAAAGATGAAAATCATAAACATTGACTTTTCAAATAATAATAATAGTCCATTATTATGTACAAGGAAGAAAATGCTAAACATCATTTTATCACTAATCAGTGAGAGCTAAGATTCTGTTGCTTTTCATGTTTCTATTTGTTGTTGTTATTATGTGCCGTGGAGTCATTCCCACTCATAGCGATCCTGTACAGTGTTTCCAAGGCTGTAAGTCTTTACCGGAGAAGAAAGCCTCATCTTGCTCCTGAGGAACAACTGGTAGTTTTGAACTGCCGATGGTGAAGTTAGCAACCCTATTCGTAACCACTAAGCTACCAGAACTCCTTTTCATGTTTCTATATATCACTATATATTTGTACTTTTAATCTTTTCGGTATCTATAACGAAGGAGCCCTGGTGGTGGAGTAAATTACACATCAAACTACTAACTAAAACATGAGTGATTTGAACCCACCAGTCACTCTGTGAGAGAAAGATAGGTAGTTTGCTTCTGGAAAGGTTTATAACCTCATAAACCTCTGCTTCTGCAAAGATTTACAGCCTCATAAACCCTAGGGAAAGTCCTGGTGTGGCCCAATAGGATAAGCACTCAACCACAAGATCTGTTTGAACTGCAAGGTCAATGGTTCAAACTCACAGCTGCTCCTTGGAAACCCTTTAGAGGGTCACTATGGGTCAGCACTGACTCGATGGCAGCTAACAACAACAACAACAGATGGATCAGAACTAACCTCACGGCCCTTAGCAAAAACAAAAAAGCCTAGGGAGCAGTTTTACTGTGTTTTATACGCCCCAACGAGATGGATTGTCAAATGGGCAGCATCGATGGACTCAAGTGTGGCAACAGTAGTGAGGTTGGCCCAGGATTGGGCAGTGTTTCACTCTGCTGTGCATTAATCACCATGGGTCAGTACCGACTCTATGGCACCTAATAACAACAACATAAGGTCACTATGAGTTAGTATAGATCCAGCAGCAATGCTTTCTTGTGTGTTTTTTTAATTTATTGATAAATGGTATGTTGTTGTTAAGTGCCGTCGAGTCAGTTCCGACCCATAGCAACCCTGTATAGGATTTCCGAGGAGCGACTGGTGAGCTTGAACCACCAACCTTTGAAGTTCAAGTGGCTTTGCAGTCTGGTGCATTAACCCAGGACTCCCGATAAATGGTATATCCAAGAATATTTCCTGATTTAATCTCATGTTTATTGATTCAATGTGCAAAGAAAACTTTGCATGGTCAGCATCATTCATGCATTTGTTGTGATGTATTTGTTAAACGCCTACTGTATGTAAATACAAAGTATTGTATTAGGAACCAGGGGAATATAGAGCTCACTGGGAATGGATTCTGACTTTATCAACCAGAAACCCAATCTAAAAACTTTATGAAAACTATTTTAAAAAATATCCTTTTAAAAGTTCCTACTTATGATGATTATTGCTTTTTAGGTAGTAGTTAAGTACACAGACTCTGAAGTCAAGCCACCTGTCCTTTAAAAACTGTGACTTCCAGGCAAGTTACTTAATCTTCCTATGCTTTTATTTCACTCTCTATATAAATCAGATACAATAGATAGTGTTTAAATAATTAAATGAGCTAAAG